AAATCCTCATAGTATCAAATCTTATCATAGTAGGATGTGTTCCTGAGATTTTGCACTAATAGCATTGCATTGATTCTTTTATATTGCACTGTACTCTGAGCACCTGTTTATACATATAGCTATTTGTGTCCAAATACTGTGTATTTGGATTTTGTCTGACACAGCGTAACGTACATTTTGAGATATCCATCACAGGTCCATCGCGAAAACCATCCAGCCAATTCTGATCAACTGCTCAAGACGTAAGAGTGAAATTTAACTGCGTTGCTATATGAACATTTCTGTAGGGTTTTAAAAAGTATTAAGCCATGATCTGTGATATGTATTTGTGTTTTAGGTGGTGATTGCAACCTGATGTATGCTTTTAATTACTTTGTTTGTGCACACATATGTGGATTTGTGCTTGCACAGATATAGAATGTGGTGCAGTGAGAATGTTGTCCAGGAAGCTAATGCCACAGTTTCCTGACCACAGTGTTTTTTTATCGTAGATTGTAATTACTCAAGAGAAGGAGAGAGTGAATTGTGGTAGAAAACCAACCTTTTTTATCCTCCTCTGTTATTGCTGGTCACAGTTCAAGATACTTTGCAGTAATTAATTCTGCAGGCCACATCCCACGAGTGTACTCACTGTAGATATCATCCCCTCCATGGCTGCCTCCTTTGGTTATGTGCTTACAACCAAAAAGTTGACTCTGTGGTTTAGATTGTCTTCAAAACTTGTGGTATGCTTAAAACATGAAGAGCATACAACTTGCCTTTTAACATCATCTAGCTCTAAGATTTAAAATAGGAACAATCTGTTTCAAAATTGCTGAAACGGACTACTGACATCTAGGAGAGCATCCATCAATCGGTTTCTGCGAGACCAAGCAGCTGTGGAAGCACAGAAACACATGCTTTCTCTTTCTCATAGAGAGCATAGCTCTGTGTAACCTCTGCACAGCTCTGTGTGCACAGTGAGGAATTGGAACCAAACTAAGCTTTATCAGCGAAATGTAATGAACTCTCTGCACATCGGGAGTATTAGAATCGCCCCTGTCCAGCATTTCAGCATCATTATCCTCAGTTTGAAGCTCTTACAGCCATTCCTTTGGTCAGACCTCTTAATTACTAGGATGTGTTAAGGATTTATGTAAGCTTTCCAGATCATTTTAGTTTCTGGCATTTCACTAAATTTGCTGTTGTAAAATATGATCCCGCTCATGAATTTTCACTAATTAGATTAAGTTGTCTTTGTCTTCTACATATTTAATCACTGAATTATACTGAGGTGATTCATAATGTAATTATTCATCAAAATCATTCCAAAACAGAGCTAAGAATTATATCAAATATGTTGTCCACATTAACAGTAAATTCTGCCTTAATTATGTTGGATTTATTCAATTAATACTTCAACTGACACATGTTTTTTTGTAGAATGCACATTTTTAACGTGATATTAGTTGTGAATTTGCCATTAATCAGTGTGCATATCGTCAGCACCACTATTATATTATTATTATTACACTATTTTCATTACCAAAAACAAGCCGATGAAGCACAAATCATGCTGGAGCTTTGCATACAAATAACTACGGTAGTCTTTCATTTACTATAGTCTCAAGAATAATAAAATAACCATACTTTTGCCAACATCACAAGTCTTGCATACTGTGAAGATAGCAGTAGATAGTGTATAGTAAAGCTAATTTTATCAGATCCCCAGAGGATGTGAGTTAACATTTGCTGGTACATGATAAGAAATGCTAATAAACAATAATTACTTGTGATAAGAATACAAAAAAGCAAGTCTTTATAATGCATGTCATAAATAAGAAGCAGTTGTAGACTGAATAGATGTATGCAGGATTAGAACCTAGCATTTCTGATATGGCAAATTTGACCTTTACCCTCCAAACTAACATCAAGTGATTTATGATAGCTGCTGGTTGCAGCAAAAAATACATTTATCTCAATCAGGCACTAACACTGTGAAATAACATCCTGTATGTTCTACTAACTTGCAGGTGAGGCTTTCATATTTTACTTTCTGTTGGTATGCAACACGGGCGGCTCATGATATAACTAATCGGATGTGATTTAGTCTGGCATCATGGAGAGTCAATGCATTTTGTTTCTCTGCTGCTGTAATCTTTAATTTAACCTGCAATGCTGAGCACTAATGACCACTTCAAATCCATTACACTTTTGTCAAAACCCACCACCACAATAAAATAAAACAATGTTTAAAAACATAGGATAAAAAAACAACAGATGAGCAGCTAACAAGTACCCTTCTGTCTTGTGTTAACATACTTCTATCACATGTGCGAAAAGGAGTAGGAAGAAGTAAAACTTATGTACTCCTACCCCTTTAATTCTTTCATTCCTTCAATTTACAATATTTATATTATTATTATTATTATGTTGCTATACATACATACATACATACATATATGTGTATGTGCATACACATGCATGTACATACACATATACATACATACATATATATACACATACACACATATTTTTTTATATACACAGTATTAAAGTGACCACTGACAAGTATTTATTTATCTAACCTCGATTATGTACAACAAAAAAAAAACAAAAAAACAAAAAAAAAAGACAAAAAAAAAAGACATAAACAAAGGAGCACTCCTACTTTTACTACAGTAAATTTTTTTGAAAAGGAATATGTTTATTTTCCCTTCCCCTTAAATCATACCCTCCCTCCCTCTCAGAGAACATCTTCTATTCCCAGGTAATAGGCTATTTCTTGCTTTGAACATGAATACTGCAGTTTGATATTCAATTAGATTGTGGTATTTTAGCAATTTAGACTGTAGAAATAATGAATTTGTATGATCCCGAAATCTGACGTTGTGAATGATTCTCATGGCACTTTTTTGCATTATGACTAGTGGATGTAGTGAATGTTAAGTGCTTCCCCAAACCTCTACACAGTAATTCAAATAAGGTAACAATAGTGAGCAGTACAAGATGTGAAGTGATTTAAGATCCAGAATGTACTTACCTCTTGCTAGGACTTCAATACTTCTGGTCAGTTTGGTTTTGATTTGTTTTATGTGAGGCTTCTAGCAAATCTTGTCATCTGTGATCACTCCAAGGAATTTATTTTCATGTACTCTTTCTATGTTAACACCCTCTATCTGTATCTGTGCTTGATGATTTGAATTACAGTGTCCGAATACCATGAATGTAGATTTACTCAAATTTATTGTTAACCTGTTTATGTCAAACCATTCTTTTATTTTCTTGAATTCTGAAGTGATTAATTCCAAGAGTTGCTGTAAGCTGTCCCCTGAACCAAATATGCTTGTATCATCTGCAAATAAATATTCTGATCAGTGACTGTAATGTGCATGGCTTAGATGGGATTGGTGGATCTGTTATTGGATATGTGGTCATGTCGTGTGACCTAACTACTGTGAATTGTTTTACAGATGCTAATTCAGAACATACTGATTGGGAGATGTACAAGGGTGGCAGTTACTGTAAAATGCACTGCTCTTTCCACCAGACCATACCACTATGAAACTAGAGAAATTGAAGCTGTATTTATCAACATTTTTTATGAACAATGGCTCAAATGTGTAACTCGTGTGTAAAGGTGTTGCTCATAGTGACAAACCCACAGAGAATTATCACCCGATTCTGTAATACAGTCTGCTCTCAACAGCACTGTTCCAGATACAGCAGGTAGCTGTTGTCAGTGACAAATCCTTGATAAACCCCTACACTACCTGCCCAGCACCAAACAGCAGACAGATAAAGGTATCGACTACATGGCGAACATAGTGCAGCATTTAACACTATATTTCTATCATGGGGGTTGACAAAGACCAAAACAGAATATTGGACTTGAATTTGTATGCTCCAAAGAAATGCTTGTCTACCTGGTGGATATGTAGGAAGTGTATTTGTGTTCCCAGGGTCCCATGTTCCCCAGATTTATATGGCACATAATGGGAATAACCCTGAAACTGGGGAACATAGGGCCCTGGGAACATGTGAATGACCCCAATGTGCAAATAGGCCGCTGTTTGCTGACATGTTCACCATATCAGCTTTATGAGGTAATAATATATCACTATTGTTTTTACAGCTCTTTCCGCTGCTTCCAAGTAGCCCAAAAAAATCTATTAATGCTGCCTCAAAGCTTTGGATTGGACATAATGTCCTATAAATGACAATAACTGAGGTATATAAAATACTTTCTGCAATCTCCACTACCCTTTATGGGACTGGAGTCTTCTCTGACTAGTCTTGAACTATTTCACTTTGCAGTTAAATGTGCAGTTTTGATGGGGTCCTGGGTCCTTGAAAGCAAGGACTATCATTATGGATAGCAGATGGTCAGAAAAATGATCATCTCATCCTAATTTCTGGTGAATCATAGCGGTCATAAGGCAAACCAACAAGTGGTGCCTAAAAAAGGAAATGCGGAATGACCGCAAACCCTAAAGAAACATCATCATATTGAATGATAATGTATTACACTTCATCTGACAGTTTATGCTGGAATGTTTTTTTTGGGTGGAGTTACAGGTGAGATGCGGACAATACAGACCTTATACACTGCAAACACAGAACTTATTGCATTCCAGAGCTATATGAGGAGGGCTCCGATTGCAATGTCAAAAGTAGTTTACTGTAGCAAGTAGCAACAATCAAGCTGTGAAGTCTCTTTAAAATGAAATCAACATCAGAAGCCCTAATTGATTTGCTATTTTCGTATTTTTTGGTTGTCTGCATATTTGCTGTCGCTTCATAATCTAGCAGTCTTCCTTTTTAAGCTCCGTTCTATCTTGCAATCAGACTCATTTAATGTAATTTTTGCTGCATTTCTATTTCAGTCACACATTTAGGGAAGGTTCCCAGTGCACCTTATCAAGACATATCTATGTATGCCATGTACAGTGTATCAATCTAAATTAACATGAAAGAAAATCAGACAATAAGTAACACTTTTTCTTTTCTTCTTAACCCAGAATTCTTCCTGGAGCTACTGGAAAACACAGAGAGGTCTCTGAATGAGATGTTTGAGAAGACTTATGGCACGCCTTACATGCAGAACTCAGAGGTCTTTGCGAACCTGTTTGCCGAGCTGAAGCGCTATTACACAGGAGGAAATGTTAACCTGGAGGAAATGCTTAATGACTTTTGGTCGCGGCTGCTGGAGCGTATGTTCACACTGCTCAACTCCCAGTACGTCATCACTGAGGACTATCTGGAGTGTATCAGTAAGTACACCGACCAGCTCAAGCCCTTTGGAGACGTGCCTAGGAAACTCAAGGCTCAGGTTACCCGGGCATTCATCGCTGCACGCACATTTGTCCAAGGACTCTCTGTTGGCCGGGAGGTGGCCCAGAGAGTGTCTAAGGTAAAAGTGCTCATCACTTTAGTAACATTCAAATTTAACTGGATTATAAAACACCCAATTAACTGTCATTCACAAACCTTGAACATAACCACATTTCATTCAATTTCACTTTCTGAATCTGTTGGAAAATATTCAGCGTTTCACCTCAGCTGAATTAAAACTTGCTATGTATCCTACGCACATTTTAGGAAGCCCAAGGTCTTGTTTGGAGTTTCTGCAGCAAGCACACATTTCCCCCAGGTTTTTCACCCCAAACAAGGTCCTCCCATATACTTTTCTGACTAATATGTGCTCTCTCGGTGCATGTCTTCAGGAAGTATGGGGCTTGAGGCGGCTTGCTCGGGTGCTGTCTAGAAAACAGTGTTGAAGGGTACGTGGATTGCTCAGGAGAAATGCCCAGACAATGAAAAAGGAGAGAAAATAAATGTCTGCCATCACTGTTTATTGCTCTATTGCCTAATATTTGTTCACCTTGTATACAGAAGCCATTAATCATGCTGTAGCCTTAGTATTCTGTTTGATGCGATGTAATCTTAATGCAGCTTCTGCAGTATATCATGCTGCCCTGGGAGTGTGTGTAGTCTTACAAAGTAAGATTAAAGGGAAAAGCGAGAGGCTAAGGCCTGGATTTAGTCACACTCAACAACAACAGGACTGTTTCTACACGCCTTCTTATGGGTTGAGAGAAGCACTGATAAGCACTACACTGCAAATCACCAGCCACCCTGGTTCCTTTTCACTACTCTAGTGATATCAGTAAGATTGGATTATCAACACTATTATAAATATTTATAGACCTGCTGTACAGTATATAAACAGAGGGCAATGAAAATATAGTAACCCTCAAACATCAGACACAGAGAGGAATATACAAAGCAGAAGGCACTGCTGTTCTCCAAGAAATCCAACATTAAGTTTCTTATATTCTCACCATGGTGTACTCATTGAACTTGAAACATGCTCCCTGCGCTGTTTGTGTCAGTCTCCCCTCACCAGTAGTAGTGGTGAGGCTCATTTAGAAGTATATGTGTTGTTAGTATGCGTTTACTGAGTTACACTCTGAGTTTCTTACAAGCCAGCATGTCCCAGCTTCACCTCTTGACATTTCAGTGGGACCGGAGATCCAGGTCATGTGTCTGGGACTGCAGCCCTTTGATCCCCAGGGTATCAACTCATCATGAGGGATTGGGTGTAAGCATAATGGAATAAGACACCCTGCTAGAGGTGTCTGTTGCACAGCGCCTTAAAGATGTGACATCCATGCTTATTGCTGCTGGGATATATATTGAATTAAAGTAGATGATGTAGTACTTTATTTCTTTACGCAGCTTAAGAGACAAAACCCAGCGGAGCTTTAAGGAAGCAGAAACGCTTGCCTGGAGTCTCATAAACAAAGCTCATTCTCATCCGAGATCTATACTCAAACAGTGCATCTGCTTCTGTTTATTTGAAGTGATTAAAATCATATAATCATCTGCCTGGTTATTGATATTTGGAATATTTTAAATTTGCACGTGGGTAACTAAAAATAATATGTTTGTTACCTGAATGCGCTCTCTGTTGTAAGATGTCAATAAATAACAGCTGCAAAGTGTAAGCTGTGCTTACATTACAGCCAACTTTCAGTCCACTTTGTAAAAGTAAAATGTGATGATATTGCACAGCATGTTACTATTGTAGGAAGCATTCATTCAATCAGTCACTTAATTGCATTTCTATTTTCATACAATAGAATGAATGATTGTTGATTTGTGCATTCAGTTCTATTGTTACACTTGTCTGTAATTATTTTTTGGAAGATTTTCACAACTCAAAATATGAGGGAAGGTAACACACTACACAGTTTTTGTGTAGTGTGTGGAGCGATGAAAAATACAATTAATATTATTTAACATTTTAAAAAATGACTATCACTAATTAATTTTGATGATTCTAAATTAATTAAATCATTTATTGTTTTGTTTGAAATTTTAGATTAGAAAGATTCTCTTGACAATGTTTTCTACAAAAAAGAATGAAAGAGGAACTACTACTACTACTACTAATAATAATAATAATAATAATAATAATAATAATAATAATAATTGTAAAAACAATGATTATTTATCCTTGTGACCTTTAAATCTACTGAGAACAAATTCTTGTCTATTTTGTGGCCCTGCACCTGTGTCAGGTGTGATAGATGTTGGCAGCAGCATTTTTAGAATATTCAGCGTCAAGCTAGGATATGACCGTAGTCTGCAAAGTTATATGTCAAGGTTGTCTGTTAGTCAGGGCAGGTGCATTACAGACTTCCTTGGTGCCTGACTCTGTGGGGTGACAGAAATACCTCTACTCCTCTCTTTATACACTTAACACTGAGGTGAGAAAGAAGTTGGGGTCTAGGCACATCAAACATTAACACATATAACCAAGATCAGGTAATTTCTCTAATTTGCAGACCTGTAGAAGGTCATCTATGTTTTTATCTCCTCCAGCATTGACTACTGTACCTGACTTTATTCTGGTCTTAGCAGGCGACATATCCACCGACTACAGCTAAGAAAAAATGTTGCTGCCAGACTTCTATCACATTCCAACTGAACTGAACTGACTATAATAAACCAATCTTTGTTGCACCACACTTACCTGTCTGTTATAGAACTGATTTAAGATTGTGTTGCTTGTTTTAAAAAGCTTTGCTTGGTCAGGCTCCTTATGATTAGCTAAATCAGCTAATTCCTCACAAACCTGGTCGCTGAGATCTTTTGGCAAGACTCTTTTAGCCTTAGGTGGGTCTAAAATCTCAGTTTGTCACAAAGACTGGCTGGACCTTTGTTGTCCAGGCCCCTAAGGCAGGCTTTTTTTGTTGTTGTTGTTCTAGCAGTGTTTTTTGGGGGAATTGGAATTTTAAATGTCATCTCATTCTTATTTTAATTTTGTTTTTACCATCTGTTGTTGTATTTTCAGAGTTTTACTGCAAATCACTTTGTTTTTAAAATAAATTAATAGTTATAGTCAGATGCCACTCAAAAACTTTCAGCAAAGGGTACATTTTCTTCTCACTTAGACTTACGTTACATAGTTTAGAACAACTTGCATTACAACAATACAACCTTTGAGACAAATTTGTGATTCGTAATATTGGGCTATATAAATTTAAATTTACCTGTCTTGACAACAATATTGCTGTTTACTTCTAATTAGAAATGTGGCAGTACAGATATTATATATGATTTTCTTGCAGACTAATATATTATCTCCAACCAGCTACTTGTTTTGAGACACGTGTTGTTTACCCACAGCAACCGTATATATGGCTGTAACTAAATCATGTGAAGCTTATATGCAGCATAAAGGATGGGAATGGTGACACCGTGTCCCATACAAGAACCACAGCTTACTAAATAACATTTAATGTGGTTACTTTTTCTACGCTCTGATTAAGTAACTGACCAGAGCTGACCATCAACTGATTATATGGTTGCCTAGCAACAACAACACAACAATCATGCAGCTTGTTCTGCTATAATTGTATTAAAGTAACAAGAATGACAGACTTTCATCCCTGTGTGATCGGGGTCATAGGTTTCCACTGAAAGACTGAAATTACATTCCTCAACCTGCTGTGATAATACAGTTACATTCAGTTTTACTTTAATACTCTGCACTGAAGCCTGAAAGATGCTTAATAAGATGCTTGTTGGTGATTCATGGAACACATAAAAAAGTAAATTAGCTGCGACCCAGGGGTTTTTACTTCAAACATCTTGACAGGGCTCCAGAGTGCAAGCATTTAAGTGTTGAAGAATAAGAATGCTGAGTCAAACACGCTCTTTAGAATTCATCTAATAAAAACAGTTTTACTCGGTCATGCAGTCAAGTATGTATTTACTATCTGATATGTCACTGCTTACACATCGCGAAACAATCACTGATAAGATGCTGCACTTTGGTATGTACATAGTCTACATGTGTGGCCTGAATGTAATACTGCAGAGAACAGCTGATTCAGCCAACGGTCACCTGTTTCCTGGAGTTTTTTATGTGGGTATTCCGTCACTATCACATTACCTCCTGAATGCAGGCAAAAACAATTTTTTAGAGTTTGTGCAATCCCTGCTGTTCAACAAAGTGGCCTGCAGACTAAGTCAGTTATTTACAATAACACATTTGCGATTGAAGCCCAAGATGACCTTAAAATGTGCACAACATACAGCACTCCGTTCTCATCCATCAAAGCTTATGGCTGCAAAGTCTTCTAATTTCTAATTAATCTTCTCCCTAAAAAAACTGTATTTCTAGATCTGCACAGCTTTCTTATGGTCATCAGTCTGTCCAAAATGATAATATGTCTTGGAAAACCTTTGAAAAGCATCATGTTTAGCAGGTTGTGATATTAAGATCTTGTTTTTGGATTAACATAGCAACACTCTATGAAATTCACTCAGCACTTAATTAGTGCCACAATGGGTTGTTAAACTGACTCATTATGTTGTTGTTTTCCACCCTCTTCAAATACATTATGAATCTAATTTGTAATAAAAAAATATTTACTGAAAATTTACCCACTAAAATGATAATGTGGTTCTAAACACAACATTAGTAAGACATCTGTGTTAATATTGATCATATCCACAAATACACAATTTTAAAACTTAATCAGTTTTTTGTAACAGTGCATGCGTGAGTGATGGGTGATACATCTAAATCTAAGTTATAAGTTATTAAGAGAATCCTGTTTTAGAGGTGCTTTGAATATCTGTGATAGATGTTATGGCAAAAAACACGCTCAATTTAAGAGTTTGAGATATTGACACCAAAAGCTGTAAAAAGAGGAAGTAAACAGAACTGCCTGTTGTAGGGTTAGGGTCATTGCTGTGTGAGTGATTATCTTGGAAAACACAGAATGTTGTTTCCATGGAATTTATGCTTCTCCCGCAGTAGCATGTGCTGAGATTGGCTGGGGCTTTGTATGTCAGGATGTGTGTTTATTATTTATGCCTTAACGCCTTCGCCAAACTCCACCTGTCACACAACAATATCCTTCTTTTAAGTCAAAGAAATAAAAACTAAAAAGGGAACGATGAGTAATACAACATGTTTGACAGCTAATTCTGCCTGATGAGCAGGCAAATAAATATCTTTCATTATTAAATATTTGACATTAAAATGCAGGTCAAATTGTTTGACAATGATCACACACCATGTAGTTGACAGTGCTCACAAATGTTCAAAAGCCTTTGGTCAGCAGAACATCTCTTTTGTCTCTGCTCTTGTGGCATTTCTGAATGTGTACACTTTGAATCTGCAACTTTTCCCAATATAATAAACTGACAATAGTATTCTGAACTTCAAACTGTATTACACAAATATTTTCTTTCTGGACTGACTTTGCTAAGAATCCTCAATTGTGGTGCGTTCAGGCAAAGTAAGTTACATTAAAGCACAACCAACCTACTAACCTGCCTACCTGCACGCAGTCTAGCTGCGTTTCGACCAAAGGAACTATACCCCGGAACTAGGAACTCACTGCGTTCCCACCAGAGGGACCAGGGTCTAAATGTAGTTCTGGGGTCTTCATTTACCCACTAAAAAGACCCTGCTCGGGGGGTAGTACTTTCCGAAAGTACCGGGTACTTTGGGGGAGCAGGGCTTGCCTTGCAGTGAATTTCTGAATGGGCGAGTAGAGGCTACTGGCTGTAAATGGAGAATGTCAGCTGTTTGTCTACTACTGCTCCTCTCTTTTCCACCATTGTTTGCAAACCAATCAATCACAATCAGCAGTCAAATAGCACACGTCTCGCCACTGTCCCCCTGAGATCAATCGTCGGCATTAAATGTAAATAGCAGCCTGCCTGGGTGTGTTTACAGAAAACAGCTGATGGAGTAACTGTGTCCAGAGTTGTTGTTTTTAAGTTTTCATCAGTCAGGAAGTTTCTACACAGAGCAGAAGTCGGTCTCCTCCTCTTCAAAACCAGCTGAACAGCTGATTACAGCAGGTAATAAAGCTCGTTAAACTACCTCAAACGCTCAGGCGACACAGACTAGCTGATCTGCAGCTCTTGTCTCTGGAAATGTTTTAATAACCTTCAAAACTGTCGCGATTTTATTTTTGCGTTGTTTTATCTGGGCTGGCATTATTTTAAGAACTTGATGGTTTTATCCAGTTTGTTATCCACACATTTCTCGCGGATGTCCTCCTGAGATCGTATGTCGGCATTAAATTTATAGCTGGGAAACAGCAGCCAGCGTTCAGCAGTGTGTTTACAGCGAGCAGCTGATGGAGTTACGCTAAACACTGGGTCAGAAATTGTTGTTTTGAGTTTTCATCAGTCAGGAAGTTTCTACAAGGAGACGAAGTCGGTCTCCTCCTCTCCAAAACAAGCGAACCAGCTGGTAAAGCTCGTTAAACATCCCTTTCCTCCGAAGCAGGCAGACACAGACATGTGCTGCCAGCTGATCTGCAGCTGTTGTCGGCTGGAAATGTTGTAATAACCTTCCAAACTGTCGCGATTTTATTTTTGTGCTGCTTTCTCTGTGCTGGAGTTATTTGAAGAACTTTATGGCTTTATCCAGTTTGTTATTAAATGTGTAACAAACTTATCGTGCGTCTCCTCTCCCACACAAAATAGCTGTTTTAATAGTCAAGCTAAGCCTATAGTTTTTCATTATGTTCCAGTCAAATCTGATGTTCATTTATAAATGCTCCTCATGGATCGTGGTTACAAATAATGATGCCTGTGCATCGCTGTGTACAGCCAGGCCTACAGCCTACGTCAGCTGGTTAATTTGCCTAATCTTCGCAGGTCTTTAGACCATGGTGGAAACGCACACAACAGCGGGCTGAAGGAACCTTTTAGTTCCTTAAAAAGAGATCTGGGGACTTAAAAGTCCCGGGTACTTTTGGTCGAAAAGCGTCTCACTCTGTCTGTGCGTTTTGGGGATACTTTCAAAATCTAGCGGTCTCTTGCTAGTTTCTCCAACATTGCCTACCCTTTAAATCCTCAGGGAATTAATGTAATTATTAGACGACAGAATGTTTTTAAGGAGCTGTCCTGTTGCTAATGACTGCTGTCACACTCTGTGTACTCTTGCAGGTAAACAGCACCCCAGCCTGTATCCGAGCACTGACCAAGATGCTGTACTGCCCCTTTTGTCAGGGCATGCCAGCAGTTAAACCATGTAAAAACTACTGTCTGAATGTAATGAAGGGTTGTCTGGCCAATCAAGCTGATCTGGATCCAGAGTGGAACCAGTACATTGGTAAGTCTTTGAAGCATTACTCCACAGTTTTTCACCTGGGTCATGCTGTTCTGTTATCTCCTGTTATTGAATTTGTTGTTTTTATTTGATGTTTTATATATGTTGGACTTATTGATGTAGTGTGTGTGTGTGTGTGTGTGTGTGTGTGTGTGTGTGTGTGTGTGTGTGTGTGTGTGTGTACTATTTGTTGCTTTAGACAAGGTTGCATTTTAATGTGGAGGACTGCCAAAATCAAAAATAAATAAATAAATGACTCAATAAATTAATTAATATGCCATTAAATGCAACAAAAATATTAAAAACAAATGTAAGCATTAATTCATTTATAAAATGTGACATAAATTGATCTCTGTTTTAATTTACTGCAATATTCATTTACCTTTGTATTAATTACCCGATTTATTTACATTTTATTTTCCATTTGATTTATTGATTTATTTGAGTGGTGGTGCGAGCTGTACTGATGTAGTCTGTATCTTTAATATTATTTTGGTGCATTTAATTTTATATTCATTTATTTATTCAGTTATTTATTTATTTATTTGGCAGTTTCGATCCTCCATACCTGCACCACTGAATACTTTAAGTTAGAATTTATAGCGCTGAAACATTTTTTTACTTTAATAACCATTCATATGAATTACCGTGGTTTTGGTTTCACTTTTTCACAATTTCACAATTTCCAGGAGGTTAAATTCACAATTGGGGATAGAGTTGCTCATAGGATTCAAGTCATTATTGCCTTTCTTTGCTTCTGTTATCCTGAGTGTGACTTTTGGCCTAAGCAAACTGAATGTGTGTAACTCATTTTACAATGTTTTTGTTCAAAATAGACTGATATGTAAATAAAATGTAAAAAGATGACTCGGGTCAAATGTTTACCTTGTAAATCTGCTGGATTACGGAAATAGGTGTGTTGTGCTGTCAAGTTTGACTTTCTATTTTAAGAGAGGTTACAGCTGGTGCTGTGTTGTTATCATGTTTTGACATGACTTCCATTGACGCACAATGGGGCCTTGGATAAGAAGGTGCTTTATTTGTCACTCTTCTATCAACATTTCATGAAAAGATTTTATTCATGGGATTCTGCTCTCCTGCTGGGCTAAATGGGGAGTTGTAATAGGGCAGAAGTGCACTGCGGGGAGTGTCAAGTTTTGTGAAGAGAAGTTCACTGGGAACTCGTTCAGCTCGGAGACAAGAAGTACAAGCATGAATGTAATATTTATATATTTATTTAATATTTCATAGATTGCCTTGCACAGATGATTTCTGCTGTCATTTTAAAGGATTGAACTAAAGCAGTGACAGTGAAAACATGACTAGGCTGCTGTCAGAAACAGGAAAAGGAGCTCTGGTTTTGCCAGCCTGTGGTAAATAAAACACTGAAATCGCATCACTCAAAATTGAAAATTGCGTAGTTTGGGTGTTAGGCATAGTAAAATAAAGAAGATGCAAGTTCTGGTCCTATGTCCAAGGATTCATTTGTTTTATTATCTCTTGTCTTTTCTCTTCCTGTGAAACTTGGAAATACATTTACTCATCTTTTGCACAAATGTATCTAATCAAATTTATTTGATTGTAATAGCTAGCAGAGTTACATCATGGTCAAAGGTGTGTGTTTAGATAACAGTTAGCAAAGCATTTGTGTTTACATTTCCGAGCGAATGTGGTTGAAATCTAATGTATTAATTTCTTCCCATCACCCACCTCCTAATGGCTGATTGATCCCCAAAAATTAAAGCTCACAAGCCACGCTCACTCTATGAAAGGTTTGATCAAATCCCTTTCGAAATCATTGCCCATTCAACATACTCTGTTTCACTGGGAAATATGTCACAAAACAGAAGCTAAAGATATCAAACTGCAGTTCGCTACAACTTAGAGTGATATTTGACCACTTACATATACATTGAGCAGATTCAGAGCGCCTTACAAATGTACATCCAGTATTCACTCCCCTTGTTTAGTCCTCCATTTCCTAAGAAACCATTTGAGATTTTTTTTTTTGGTTTGCTTCATGTTCGGTACTCCTCACCAGTCCCTCGTTATCTTTGGCACTCTGCCATTTTACACCAGGCACATAGTGTACAACCAGTGTGTGTTTGCTTGTGACCTTGGAGCAGCTGCACAAAGTTTTTTGCCAGTCTTTGTGAGAGCCACTGGGGCTATATGGACCAGCGAACCAAAACAATGTGGGTGAAAGCTGGAAAGAGCTTCAGGGCCAAGATGTTGATTCTCAGTGCAATCAGCAGTAGCAACATTGTTACATTCAGTCATTTTATTAAGTGTTATTATCAAAAATATATCTTAATAGAGCTTTAAAGATATGCTTGATACACCAGGTACATGTAGACTTTGAGGACAAAGATGAGAAACAGCAATAACCACAACAGAATGTGTAATCTAAGAAATAATGTGATTTTTTTTTCCTTTATTTTGTCAGTGTATAACAGTGTAACAATTTGTCTATCAAAGTATACCAGTCTTCTTGTTTAAAGCTTAAAGAGGTGGTATTATGCTCATTTTCAGGTTCAAAATCTTATTTAGGGGTTGTACCGGAACAGGTTTACATGGTTTAATTTTCAAAAAACACCATATTTTTCTCATACTGCACATTGCAGCTCCTCTTTTCACCCTACATGTTGTACGCCTCACTCTTGAGCTACAGAGTGGTGCATCTTACTTGTACAAAATCTTTGTTGGGAGTTGCACATGCGCAGTTTCCAGGTAAGGACTACTAGCCAATCAAACAATTCAAACAATTTGAACGTTTGCTCAGTAGCTTTCACATCAGGTGTAACATTATTATTATAGCTATAACTTTAGCTGTGTTAGCCAATGTTTACAACAATTCCGCACTTGAACAGTCTGTGAAGTTACATTGCCGTGTTTATTTTAAATATAATTCACAACCAATAAAGCATACTTACAGGTTGTGATTGTGAATTTCCAGGCCCAAACAGAGTTGGAGTTGCATCATCTTTTAGGACTAAACGTTGAACTGTTGCCGGTGTTCTGACGATCTATGCTGCCTTGCCGAAAAATGCTACCATAGCGCAAATCGATAGAAGCGACTCTACTCGGCCCTGCTCCGTTTTCCTTTGCAGATAGTACCCACAGATAGTACATAGCTTGTCGTCATAGCAACGCCACACACAACTGCTGCAACGTAATGTTCAATGCGACACACACACCAGCGATCCACACAGCTTTCTCTTTTTTAAGTTAAAACGTTTCAACATTCCTCAGAATGTAAAGACAGATAAGCGGTATGAAAACCTTCCAGCTGTGTTTTCCTCTGCCGTTGTTGCTGCAGCGGTCTGTGTGACGGCGGGAGCAGAGGGCTCTGTGAGCGGGCGGCTGGCCGGCATCACACGCTCTTCCCACGGGTTGGTACAGGCTTCCCCCCGCAGCCACTTGCGGAGCTCCTCAACTCCGAAAATATTCAAGCACATTTTTGTTCCGCCATCACTTCTCGTAAAACTGTCAATATTCGAAATCTACACAGCTGATTTCTCACCTCAAAACTTCTCAGAAGTGGATTTAGTGATGAAATTCCATACGAAAACTGTAAAATATAAAACTTTCTGTTGCTGGCCTCTGTCTGGTGCAGCAATGATGATGCAGTGACTAGTGTATATTCTCTCTGACCAATCAGCAGTCTGTCCTGTTTTCACGTTACATTTTAGTATCCCTCAGCTCGCTTGGAACCTCGATGGAGGTGAGGTGATACGAAAAAAGTACCTGGAAGCAGGTACAGGTACAACATTTCAACAATGGACAAAGGCGAGTCGAGCCAAAGGGCCTCTGCTCAGACTAGCTTGGTTTGAGGGCGTGCCTGACCCCTGCTAGCCGCTTGGCAAGCTTTATGACGAGTTTTCATTGTGATGTCACAAGTAAAGGAAGTGAAGGGCTGGACTACAAACTAGCTGTTTTCAAGCGGTTCAGAGCAGAGTTTTCTGTGGGAGATGGGAGCTCCCTTTTGGCTGGACTTTGGGCTTTTTCACTTGCAAACCTGTTACATGCACAAAAAAGAGATATAACTCAATGAAGGAGAGGGGGAAAGCCAAAAAGCATAATACCACGTCTTTAATATTTTCAGTAACCAATTAGATCAGGGAAACAACCAGTTTTAAAAGAATACTGTGATGATTAAGTACAGTATTCCTACATCCATTGTGTCTACTTCTGTAACTATACATTGTGTGACAGGCAGAAAAGAAATCAAAATGTTTGGTGGATGTTTGCTGTGGATACATAGATGCACTAATATTGATATGGAAGCAGATATATTTCACAGATGAGCATTGTGGCCTCAATATCTCTGTGTTGAACAAGCACAGGGCAGAGCAGCTGCAGTGCGGCAGGAGAAAGGACAAGACTGACAGATGCTGGCATGTCTTATGTTGGGATACTTCCTCCTAGCAGGGGTGTAGTGGAGTGTATACACACATTACACATGACGTTTACCAACCACTCAAAACCTGAAATAGCGTATATGCAGGTTTCATTACTCTCAGTATGCTCTCTTGCACTTTTTCTTTTGTAAACTCTGGGGTCATTTTATCTTCCATTGGATCAAAAAACAAACTTCTCTGAGCTGAACACAGCAAAAGCATTGAGTGGTGCAGTTTCAAAGGAACACAGAAGACACATATTAGATGGAGCATCTTCTTGGCTTGTGATGTGTTAAAGTATTTCCCCTATACTGACAGAAACAGAATTCATGACCTTTAGTGATTCCAATGTCCAATCAACATTGTCAAATCCATTGTGATTGCTCTGCAATCACCTTACTTTAAAAATTATATTTCATTAATCCACAGTGCACACTTTATTAAACTAAGATTATATTTAACAAGCCAAGAGAAGCTGGCCAAGTTCACAGTAATGAATGCCAACTTGTAGAGTTGTAGAAGGAAAATGAGGGTGTGTCTGCTTTTCAAACCTTTGGCCTGTACCAGTGTTAGTGGGATAACAATACAGTTAAAGGTTCTGTA